TTTTTAAAGGTGTCCTATCTTCTAGAGAATTGAATGCTCTACAAGATTCCGTTTAAAAATCTTTGTGTACTTTCAAAACGGCCTTGAAAACCGACAAATACTCGGAAAAAACGTTTTGTCAAAACCGCATTTTTTCCGAGTTATGTTTTTGAAAAATGGAGTTTTTCACCAAAACTATTTTCAAACACATTTTCCTATGTAGTTTTTCATGCTCTTTCATTTGAGACGTCGCGCGAACGAAACGGTTAAAGTTTGGCGGTGTTATGACCGAATTATTCAAGAGGTCGATTTTTGAGAGCTCTTCTCGACCCGCTCTCAATAAAATACCCATGACTCGGTCAAATTGAGTCAAAGCTCTCTAAGAAATTTTTCGTAACCACAGTTTGGCGTGCTGAATCCGAATATGTAATAAAAAGTATAGGTAAAAAAATTTCACTTTATGACAATTCTCGATGGTCCGGTGCAACCTCTCTTAAAACTCTTTTATTATTTTTTACCTCAAATGTCATGAATGTTAAAGTATTTCTGTATCTGAAATCTTTGCAGGAAGCTTGTGGCTTTGTCTATACGGCCAACATGCAGCGTATGTGTCAGGATATTAGAGTTAGTAGAGATTTGATCCAACAGTTTCAAAATTATTGTGATAGAAAGGACATTGTACAAAGAGGTTTGCAATTGAGAGAAAGAGCTCATTCTTTCTTTGCTGTTGCTAGTACCTAAACGTTGGCCTTTCCTCTCCCTTTAGTTGACTTCCGTATTATGGCGCTCGCTTCCATCGCATGGCCGTTCATTGCTCCTACGGCAATCAATCTCCCTACAGAAATTTTGGCGTTGCGAGATAATTTCACAGACTTTTACACCGAAAAACGTACTGAACCATGAATGAATTTCGCCTGCCACTGGTATATGATTGACTCTGAATGGCATTGATAAAGACTTTCTGTTCGTTTTTTATTCTCTGCTAAAACAGCAATCAAAGAACACATAAGAAGGTCATAAATGTTCCTGTTTTCGTATGAATTAACAAATTGTCGAGAAATCTTTTCCAGATTTTTCTACAGCGGTACAGTGTTTTTCAGCAGCTACCTAACATGAAGTGTATATTTGTGCTTATTAGTAGTCTAAATCATTTTCCCCATTTTTATAGTTCAAAAGATTGTCTCATTTTTAACTGCGCCTAAAAACCTTGCTCGTCTACGTACGTTCTGCTTGGTGGCCTTTTATCTACGTTGCTCTGATTAATTCACTTACTATCTTTTAGTACTTACTTTGAAAATTATTAAAACTCGATTTCCTACCAGAAATCCTTTCTTGTAATTTTGTGTATAGCAGAGGAGAAGGTAAAATGATTATGCTTCGTATCGAGAGAGAGATAAAGAGAGAGAGAGAGAGAGCAATCATCGCAAGTTGGAAAAAAACCAACTAGCTTGGGGGGTCAACGCTTACGTGTGATAGGGACAAAGGGAAGGGAAGAGAAGTCTAAGGCTGTCTAGGCGGAGGTGAGTCATCAGGCATAACAGGACGAGAAGAAAAAAGAGTGACCGGCTCACAGGGGAATCGAACCCACTGTCTCTCCATGACATGTCGAGCGAGCGTGCTACCACTGTACTAATGAGAGCCACTCAAATCTCAACCCGTCTAGCATCACTCTTTGAGAGATGCTAACAACGTGTACACAGTTTAGAGTTTTTTTGTCAATTCTTTGAATAACATATCAAGTAAGAAAAACATCTTTCGATATGGTGAAATGCATTACTGATGAAACAATAACAAAGAGAAATCTTATAATACTTTTAACGAAGCCTTCAACATACACAGGACGAAAGAAGATAGAGCGGAAGAGAGAAAACACGTAAACAAAATTCAAGTTGAAAAAAACCAAGTAAAGGTTAAAGATAGTGACCTAGTCTTTGCGAAGATCGGCGAGGTATTGAAGGAAAAGTGATGTTCCAAAAAGCTATTCAGTGAAAAAGTAATTCTTTTTTCCTTAGTCTTTCCTAGCTACAGAGTTTAGTGTCAAAGTGCGTTACATTATGTCTGTTCCTATTTTTGTTGAACATCCACGTTCAAAGTCCTCTGGTCAAAATATTTTTCAATCTAAGGCTGTGAGCGTGTGTTTTCTTGCCTGTTTCTAGATGCTCTAACTCAGACGTGTTTTGTGCTGCCTTATTATCAGATAAGCACCAAAATCTTGTGGTAACAGCTTCGTGGCTTTTGCAACTTTCCTATTCGGAATCTTTAACCAGACTTTTTCTCCAACTGCGTATCTTGTGATCTGATGTTTATCGTTATAAAATTTTTCATTTCTCTCCTGTACCTTTATCACGTTTCGTTTTGCTGTATCTTTCGCTTCGGCCACTATCTGCCGTAGCTGCAACACGTAATCATCAAGAGAATTAACTGCAGAACTCAACTTCACAGGGTCATCTTCTAACAGAATCGGTTCCCGTCCGTAAAGCAAGAAAAAGGGTGAAAATCCTGTTGATTCTGAGGAGCAATATTATACGCAGAAATGAGATAATCTAGGAACTTATCTACGAACTTATCCCAGTTTTATATGGGATGAACTTATGAAAGACGCAATCATCGTTTTCAAGGTCTATTAACCTTTCTATGAGTCCGTTACATTTGAAAGTGTTTTCGAAGTTAAAGACAAGCACATTCGGGGAGTTCCACCGCTACTACCATCAATTCCGTGAGGTCTGCCGCGGTTAACCAAACCTAGCACATCAAATAGAACACCGAATTCTGAGTCAGAATAGGTGTCGTTTAGTTTTTTTCGACTTCTTGAGTAGGTCGAGCGTGCAAGGGGGCTCTCGATTTTTGGACTTTTACGCTAAACTGCAATGCGTTTTTCTCCGCCAAATAAAGTCATATAGAGCTGAAATTGTTCGGTATATGTCGATATCATTATCGAACATATCAAAAATTTCTCTTCCAAGGTGGTGTTTATTTACTGATTGATTGTGAGTTATGTTCAACCGAGTTATAATTTTTTCTCGGGAAAAATACCTCGATCACTCCTACTTTGGTTAGATGAAAAACTGAAATTTTTATACTCGCTGAAAACTTGTTCTTTAGTTCTCAAAGCGTATCCTAAAAAGGTAACTTGATATGCTCTGCAATTTGGAACAAATTCTACTATCAGACAAAAGTTCATGATGGGTTTCTGGAGACCTCGACTTTGAACATACGTTCTGACAACCTGAAACTTGGTATTTTCGATATTCGGCATACTAATACTGGTGCATACCTAATCGCGATAGTCAAAACATGTACCCAAACCCCTTCTTTCGCATGAAAACCGGAGCTCTCCAGCTGCTTTCCACCACGATTTACTTAAAAAACACCCACGGTTCTTATATTTAAAAATGGATAGTAATTTGGCTCATGGTCGTAACAGAATTATTAATTTATTAAATCTCATTAATTAAGAATCAACTACTCAAACGGGATCCAAGGAAGGCCATGGTTTTCCACAGTTGAGGCGTTTTTTTTGATTTCCTACGAGCCCCAGAACTGACACCCGGTGACTATTGGTGGCCTTGAATACGGGTGAACTATGGGTAATCGAAAATTATGTTTGACTTCGACGGAATAATCTCTGACCTTAAAGCTAAAAGATTGTGCACTTTGAATATATATTAGATAAAATGAAATTCATTGTGAATCTACTAAATTTAATGAAATTTTTAAATAGAAACTTTTTAGCGTTTTTGGTTTTTCGTGGAAAGCAGCAATTTTCGAGATAAATCAGCTTGATGAAATGTTGTCGCTAGTGTTAAGAAACTACTGCTTTCGAGAAAAAAACGAAAACGCTAAAAGTTTTCTAATTAAAAACTGTATTAAACTTAATAGATTCATCTAATGAATTTCATTTTACCTAACATATATTCATCCGCTAATGATTACATTTTTTGACTGATCATCCGTGAGGCCCCCCCCCCCACACACCATCCACTAAAACACAGACTCGTGATGGCGCCAAAAAATGTGAACTGCCCTTTCGTTTATGTCTGATTATATTGAAAAAGACACAGATAAATAAAACAATATTTGTAATAAGCGAATCACCCGATTCGAGCAGTTATATTGCAAGAACCAAGTTTCTTCATGATTTCGGTTTTTTTGCCAGAAATAAAAAATCCTGTTTCGTTTTTTTGGTACAATCAAATAACTCTTTGAATTTTTTAGCTCTTTTAAAAGGGAGATTGCTTGTGCTTACTTTATGACACAAGCTCGATGGATATTTCCACAGCAAGAAACAAAACTTTGAGTATCAAGCACCTCGACCAGACTAGATAACCAAATCATATATCGGATTTTTGATTCTAATAAAAAATCCATTCTTGAAATTCATTTTAAAAAACGTCGTCGATTTTTCAATAATAGTAAAAAATCTGAAACGGTTTTTTAGTCATAATAAAAAAAGCATAACGGTTTTTTAGGAAATGCAGATTTTTTTCAGAAAACGGCTGACCAAAAACCATGGGCTTTTTAACCTATTAACAACCATATTTGATTCATTAGTTTGGCAGATAAACCGAGAAAGGTTTTTTATCGTATTTCAAAAACTATTGACCGTTTTTTAATCTACGATATCTTTTTAGAGTGTACATACAAGGAAAATTTAACCTGTACTGCACAAGTAAAATGCTGGATTAAAAAGTTACTACTAGTTTTATAAATTCGTTTCTCCGGGCACAATTCATCGCATAAATCACTCAAAACTTCTTCGCTGTTGAAGCGAAAACTTTCAGACATCTCCGTTTCGCAAAAGAAGAAAACTATTCTTTTTCATTCATATGAACTGAAAATCTGTGCTTAGTGTTGTTGAATAGTTTTGCATAAATTCAGTTTAATTGTACATGAAAAAGTGCGAATGCTCAAAAAACGCGGCAGTTCTCTTCTAAAGGATTCTCTTCATAAAACTACTTTTCTCATACACTCAACTGGAGATATTTTATTAGGATTTGCAACGACGAGTGTTGATTGGTCTTCTAATTATTAGTTTGTCCTAAATACAGTTCTATCTCATCTGTGAATGTTACAAACATATTGAATGGTAAACTTATTTGATGTAAATCTTTTAATTCCTCTTTTGCTATTTGATATGCATTTTCTTGTGATACGAGTCGCTGATAATACCGTATTAAATACCGTCCGTTATAGTTAGCGCCTAACAGCTGTAACATCGGTTCAATTTGTTTAGCATAAAAGAAGGTATCCACATCCTCTTGAGTCCAACTCTGAATTGATCGACTTTCATATTCAGCAGTAGCAGAGACATTTGAACGTGCTCTTTGATGCTCTTGATGATGAGCACGAGTTGTTCTGGAATCAAGTAGTGGAGGCGGTGACGGTGAGCAATGAGCACGAGCAACAGCACGAGAAGATTTTGGCATTACATCTTTTGGTGGTGGTGGTGGTGGTTGTTTACCCTCTTTCATTTTCTTCTGTGACTGAGCTGCTGCTGAATCAGATGCATTCACCGGTCTTTCTGCTTGTTTCACGTTCATAGTGTCTCTATATTTCTTATCATAACGTTGTAATTGTTTGATTAAGTCAGTAAATCCTGTATCGAAACCATTTTTGAGGAAGTCAACATAGACGCGATCACCAAGGATAACTTTTAGCCATCCATTTGGTCGATAATTTGCTTCCATCCGTAGTGGTATGATCTCACGTTTTAACTCATTGGCATAGGTGCATTCTGATTGACAATTTGGACTTTCTTTATATGCATTTGAATAACAGATGAGAATAATTCTTGAATGTTCAATCGCTTCAGACATACGTTCAGTTAGTGAACCGAACATCTCATTACGATCAATCCATATACGTGCGTTTGTTGCTTGATGTAGACCTTCATAGACTTTTATACATAATTCAGAATCTTTATGGCAATAGCTAATCATTAGATCAAATTTAAAATCTTTCGCTGGTTCCATAGCCAAACGTTGTTCTTTTGTCAGCTGTCTACCGAATTGATCAACTGGAACGCCAAGCATATTGAATTTCAATGGTTTCTTAGCTTCCTTTCGTTTCTCTTCCTTGACAACGTGTCGTTTCATTTCCCAGTCCACACCCTCAGCAACTGATTTCAATACGTGATCATTCGGCTTATCTGTTTTTGCTTTCGTTAAATCAACTACATAATCAACAAACACTTTATTAGCTCGCAACAGTTGTGCAGCTGATAAATTAAATATTATAGACCATATCAATTCCATTGATGAATACTGTATAGATGCCATATCAAATTTATTATCATAGGCACAAGTGGTTAGTAATGTTAAACCATCTTGAGCAACAACTTCGGTTTTAACTTCTTCATTTTGTATGAAGACTAGAAAAGCAAGATGCAAATACGAAGATGAAGAGTTAACCATGTCTTAGTAACCCTGTGACAAAGTTTGCACGAAATCCTCCACGCTCACTGATTGGGAACCTATTAAAAATTTTTCTGTTCAGATGTGCTTTGCTTCGAGTAAGATTTCGTCGTACAGAGAACCAATGTGTTTCTATGTAAGCGGTTTAGTATTTCTAACATCGCATAATAAATTTAGCCTCTTTCAAACATTTACCTTTCAAATGAATAATAACATCACTTAATCTAACTTTTTCGAATGATTGATTTTGTTTACTCATTGTTTTTGACATGTATTTAACATAAGATGTTGCTAATTCCTTTGGTTCCGATAATTTATCAATATCATCATTCATTAACCCGATCAGTGTTTCACAATGAAATGTTGTTGTATGAGCATTTTTCGTTTTGCACTGCTTATGTAATACAGACAATATTAACGGCACATTATCTTTCAGTGTCCGTAGACGATCAACAACAATTGATTCGACTGACAAATTGTAGAGTAATGCAGCTGCAGCAATAACTAAATCATAATGGTTCTCCTGTATAGAATGATCCAGTACCATTATTTTAAAACGATCATCCCAATCAGTTATCTCTTTGATGAACAATGGTGTATGAAGTAAACGTAGAAGATTTTCAACTAATGGTAAATTTTTACGAGTGCAACGACGAAAGTAGACTGATGGTATACAGCGATTCATTAAACGTATAAATCTTACTAAAACGCTTGATAACGTGTAGTCATTAAGGGTCTGACTAAAAACATGATCAAACACTATACGACTCCAGTTAAATAATGTTTGACATAGACAATCTAATTGAGCAGTTGTCAGCGCTGGACTTACTATATCATCACCTTCTAAGAGTAGATATTCCGGGAATATATTTAAAATTAATCGACGTTTAGCGTCACCTTCTGTTCGTCTTGATCGTCCTTTCTCTTCATCATAAAAACGATCAAATTCACTTTGAAAATAATTTAATACACATTGTAATATTAGCGTTGTTGCAGCTGGATAAAGTTTTTGACAGACATCTCCATACTTTATTTTAAATTTCATTACTGTATAAATTTGACCGAAGAGAATAGCCAGTTGCTCATAACGAAAATCATCTGGTGTATATTGGTGTTCTTTTACGTCTGATAGACATTGTTTAATGGCATACAGAAATTTATCATCAAAAAAAAATTTAAAATCAAATAGATCAAGTAACGAACAAATTAAATCAAAACATTTGATTTTCATTTTTGTTGTATCTTGTGGCTGATTTTGTTTTTCACTGACTTTTTGTATCATGGATAATAAAAAATCTTGTATAAAAACAAAAAAGTCAAAGGTGTCCAAGGCTGGATTCCATGGTGTACGTTCAAATTCTTTATGATTGAAACTCAATGCTGTGTGGATACGTTGCAAGGCATTAGTCGTTGCATCACTGATACCAGATTTTTGTATTTGTTTTTGACATTGAGTAAATGCCTGCTGTACTTTTTCAACGACTTTCTTATCGTTAAAATGATACTTATATGAATGAAATGTGTCGCATGCCCGATCAAATTCGTCGTTCTTTCTCTGAGATGCAGAAGGCATGTCTTCCTATACCTCTAAGAAAAGATGTTGAAAGTCTTACTCTTTCAAGCTAACGTATGGAGAGAAAGAGAAAACCTTTGATACCTCTGTCATTAGTGTTGATTGCCTATAAAAATGAGAGGGTAGTTGTATAGCAGCATACATGCTAGCATCTCTAGTGCATCCTCTATAGTAATGCAATACTTGAGAAAAGAGAGAAATCTGTGTAGAACTACTGCTATTTTCACGGGTTAGCTCGAGAAGAACTGATTTTGATCTTTATTTGAGTTTTGGTCTTCATATGTGCTTCATCTTATCGAAGAAGGAGCTGCATGAAAGTTGTACTTACGTTTTTGTTACTGTTGCTCAAATCGATTGATGAGATTTCTTCCACTTCAACGTAGTCAAGAGGAGAAGGAAGTGTGCTGTTGGTATTTACCTTGTTTTAATGACCTGAAGTTGAAAAATTCTTTGTTTTTTTAGAACTGACGTTAATCAAACTTTTCTTTTTCTCTTTTGTCTGATGTTTTTTAAACATACCTCATTCACTCAAGTACTTGGAAGTAACTTGTCTTCTCTTTATTACGATGAGATTAATACATCAAAAACAAATAGTGAGTAAATTATACAAAAGAGAACGAAAGCAATAACAAAAAGAAAATGTTTTGTTATGGGTGTTTACATAAAAACATTCAAAAAGAAAAAACCGGTTATTCGAGATCATTCTAGACCGGTGGTCAGGCAATAGATTACAAATATAAGTAATTGATGCCAAAGATGTGGTCCATGCCATGGATGGAATATATATATAAGTGCAAAAAATTTAGAGATATTCTCCCACAGATCCAATCTTTCTGGTACGCTACCTCCATGCGTTCTTTCCTCCCTAAATCAATAAAGAAATTCACAGCAGAAGAGCCAAATAATAACAGGAAAGTAACAATAGTCAGGTGGGTCGTGGAAGTCGCGAACGGCCGATTAAAACAGTACAAATATCTAGATCGGGTTATCCCAAATACTACTCTTTCCTACATACATGAATATGTCCAAATTATCTGCGCCCTTATCGACGCCTTCCGACCACCTGTCATTCAAGATACGAGTCAAGATAATATATAGCCGCGGAGATGCTTGGAAGACCAACACAAACTAATAAAAGTGAAGTTCAGGAAGATAAAAGCTATACATGATTTCTTTACTTGCTACCAGTGTAGCATATTTTCGTTCATTTTGGAGTATGAACGTATATAGCACAAAAATGTGCGTACTTTGATGACACTTACAATAATCTAAGTTTGCGTTCTAAGCTGATCTCGCTTAATACGGAGAAAAAATGCCTTAAAGTTCGAAAAAAACGATGTATTTCGCGATTTCTCCCCCTTGTATATTCCCCTTGTACATTTGACATTTTAAGGTGCGCCATCGGATAGCCCGCCCGTAAAAAGTTACATCTACTACCAAAGTTTGATGTCGCTTCTAGCATGGAGTGGGAGTCAAAGTGGGAGAATACTAGCAAAAAACTCACTTTTCTGCAGTATTTGGCCTTTTTGCCTCAAAAGCAGTTTTAAAAACAAGATCCAATGGCATACTCAGCGCAACAATTTTGCATCAGTTGATGTATAGTTGTAAATATTTGAAAGCCCTGCAACGAAGAAATCTAATTTAAATAGATTTTAACTTTATTTGAAAAAGACGTAAAGTTAAGTTTTCGATTTAACTTTCAGATTTCGTACGATACAAATGCGATATTCTTGATCAGCATCGTTGACTCTATGTTTCTATATGGTTTTCTTTAAAAAATTAAAAGGTTTTCTGAAAACCCTGTGGAAGACCTCAGGCCTCAAAAATCTGACTGAGAGCTGTCGCGAAACTAAATGTCAGAAAATGTTCCTACGCATGCTCTGACATGATTCTAGTGCAAAAAACCCAAACATTTTGAAGACGAGAAAACAGCGTTATCCGCCCTCCTCATCAATCGATTTGAGCAATACGGACAAAAACGTAAGTACAACTACCATGCAGCTCCTTCTTCGATGAAGCACATGTGAAGGCCAGAACTTACATAAAGATCAAAATTCACTCAAGTACTTGAAAATAATTTTTCTTCTCTTTATTATGATGAGATCAATACGTACAAATTATACAAAACAGAATGAAAAAAATAACAAAAAGAAAGCGTTTTGTTACGGTGCTTACCTAAAAACATTCAAAAAGAAAAATCTTACAAAAAAACAACATAATGAAAAAAATCATCGAGGAAGTGACGACATTTTCCTACCTGCGTTAAAAGACAATAGCCACAGTTTGCATGACTAGAAAAGATTCGATATATATATATGTAATAGCTGAGGAACATTCGCTTACAATCACAACGACCACATTAATCACACTGCTGGAGATAAACTCGGTTAGTACTCGTAATAAAAACACATTTATATGCTTTAAGAGTGTGTTTATGTGTAGATTTCATGTGAAACATAAAATGGAGAGCGTTATTTGTCGGATAATCTATATCTTGACGTTCGTAGTGCGCTTTTAACAAAGGTGTCTTAAAGTATTGAGGAAAATTTTATCTATTTCTTTTTTCAGTCCATCAAACAGCACAAGAAAAAACAATGTCACACATTCAAGGTTCATTTGTCCTAACTCGTGATCATGAAAACGTTCATATGTCTGAAGTACGAGCACGTGCTATGGCTTTAACTGATCCGACACGTCCAGAAGTCACTGCATTTTTCAAAAGTGTCCACCGTTCGACTGCATACGGCGTTCATCGCTTACCAGCTGTGTCGTCTAGCGAAGATGAGGATGACGATGATCATATAGATGAACCCCAGTGTCAACAAACTTCAACGGCCATTCTTCCAGACGAATCGTATGACACAGACCTCGATTCAGATGATGATGATGAAAGTAAAAAACAGAAAGATTTCACTTCAAAAGGATTATATTTAACTAATTGTGATAAAAACACTGTTATACCCTCATCTTCTTTCTTAAAATTGATCGATAATGAACTGAGTACATCCGTTGATATACGTTATTCCTCTATAAAACCGCTTGATATAAAAGCAATGATACCATCATTGAGAATGAGTACAACAATTACAAAATTAGATTTAAGTGGAAATGGTTTTGGTTCACTTGGTGCAGTTTACATAGCAAAATTAATTAAAGATAGTGAATATATAATTGAATTGAATTTATCCTACAACGATATTGGACTGAAAGGTAAATAACGGATTATTTGGAGTTTAGCTAGACAGGAGACAGATTTGCAAAACTACCAAAAGCTAAGGAGGTGTGCTTCTGATCAACAATGCCCCTTCCTAAAGAATCTGTCTATCGCTAGTACACATAGTCATCGTCCAGATTTCGAGAATCGCTCTCTTCTCCCTGATATAACTAATATACTGGTCTTTCTCTCTAGGTTGCCAAGCTCTCTGCCCTGCACTTCGCACGTGTGATACCATTCGTACTCTGATTCTTGATGGTAACCGTTTAAATGATGAATGTGCCGTACATCTTGCTGAACTTCTTACAGTGCATGAATATTTACTCTACGTTAGCCTAGCAAAAAATCTATTTGAAGGCGTGTCAGCAGCAAGTCTGTTTGCCGTAGCTCTCAGTGATAATCAGTCGATTGAACATTTCAATATATCATTTAATCATTTTCAACAGAAAACCACTGGTGTGTTTGTTCTATTTTTATCAAAAAATTTTCGTCTTCGTACATTAGATTTATCATATTCAAGTTTTGGCTTAGATGCATCGAAAGCATTTTCTATGGCAATGAAAACAAAGAATACGCAATTAGAAGAATTAGATTTATCATCGAATCTGATTGATGATGAATGTGCTAAATATCTTGCTAGTGTAGTGAGTACAAATGAATCATTGAAAATTTTAAAACTGATGGGAAACCCATTGAGTATTAATGGATGCTATATATTACTGAAACCACTGGTAACAATGCCAACATCTCAATTAGAAACAATTGACATACGTGATATATCGATAAAAAGCAAAGCACTAGCAAGTTTAGCAATGGATCTTGAGGATCGTTTTCCAAAATTAGTTATAAAACGAGGAGAGAAGATCGACTATCCACCGATTAAATGATGGGAGACATATCGCATTAAAAGTAAGAACGACCGAATTTTCAAGAGAAAAGTTTCGTTCTCGTTCCCGTAATTTTGTCATGTGCTAGTTCACTACAGAAATTATTAGTTGCGGCGATGCATCAATATGGCGGAAAAATGTAAAAGTTTTAAATCGATCATCGTTTTTCGTAAGATATTGTCTGAAGTTTTTAGTCAACTTGACTATGTGGACAGAGAAGTGATGAATGTGCTGTTGATGCCAATTTATAATTTGAATCAGGAGGAAAACAGAAAATCATGTTCGATCTACTCGATCACTAACTAAACAACTTAGTTAAGAGAAGATGAAGGAGCAACTGCAAGAAGAAGCTATATCTACATTCAGCACCAGCACGCATCTTCTACAGCACCACTCCTGCCACAGTGGTCTCTAACAGAAGGTAAAGGCATTCTTCGGTACTTTGAAGTATAAGCTACATTCCAAGTGCTGGAATACGTTTGGGAGTACAGAAATCTCAAGTGGATTGAGAAAATACGATTGAGCATACGGTAGCATCAAAACATAGGAGAACGCAAGCTGCTGACAAAAAATGACTTTATTCAAATCATCATTTGAAGGTAATGAGTTATTTTACGTGAATACCGTACAGCAATAAATATTTACTTTTCTTCTTGAAACTAAAGTCAACTGTGTTATAATTAAGTAAATTTTGTTAGATTTACCTGAGATTTTTGAGGGTATGAACGTTCTTTTTATTATTGTGTGTGCCCGTTGTTTTTATTTGGAATAAATAACACTGAAAAGAGTTTTTTTCTATCTAAAAAAATGAACAATATAATGTTATTGAACAGATTACTCTATGACGCAGTACTGAGCTTATTGATTGATTTATATTTTAGTAGCCACAAGTAGATAATAGATAGTGAAAAAAAAAGGAACACAAATACACATCTTTACATTAACAAAAAAACAGAAGCATGCCACTGGGAAGGCAAAAAAGGTTCTGAGAATCTATAAACTTTACCGCCTTATTTTAAAACGATTAAAGCTCAAGGTAGTTCTTGAGCCTTGTTTTAAACGACTTTATTGTGGGTGATGTAACAACAGCTTCGGGAACGGTTAGATTCCAGTCTCGGGCTGTTTGGGAGATTAGCCCGCTAAATCAGTATGATGATTTACTGCAATTTCAGGTTATTCACTTTACAAGTGTTTTTGTATGTTTCTAGTTTACTAGGTATCACTAATATCGTAAATAATAAAATTATTTAGAAACAAGTTTCTTTCTGGATGAATACCGCTACGTGCAATGGCCGGGCTGAGCCGAATTAGAAAACTTTATAGAGTGATCGGATTGGGTCGAGCCGGGCCGAACTCAAAATTTTTAAGCATACGTGGATTTGTAATTTATGTGTATACTCAGTGTGCACCGAGAAAGAGTTCTATCACTGTTACGCGACATCTTAATGACTTCGTTTGGCTAATGCCTTTAAAGATTGAAAAAATGAAAACCAAGAAATCAGAAAGATATAAATACTAACTTGAGAAATATATTTATACCACTTAGCCAGCAAAAGCATTACAGATGCAAAAAAAATCACTCTTAGGACCAGAAAATTTTGGAAAGTGGTCGAGTCGGGCGAGAAAAATTCGACGTTTGGTCTGACCGAGCCGAGCTTGGTCCGGAACCTTTCATCATCGGGCCGGAGCATAAGTCTCCGGCCTTTTATCTTTTTAACGAAAGCAAAACGATACGCTAGAAATATTCATGATGTTCTTACAAGCTAATTAAAATAGTCTTAACCCCTCCTCATAATAGAAGACCCTCCCATATTAGAAGACCCTTCTACGAGAACGTTGTAAAATTCATAATAGAAGACCCGTAATTGTAATGAATCGTTTGAAACTTCTTTAACTTTTTTTAGATTCACAGCAGCCCTATATTAAATTTAAATTTATTTAATTAAAAAAGATGTGACGTTTCAACTCTTCATTTTCAGAGAGAAATTCATTTTTTCAAAAACAATTTCTGTTTTTCTTTGTATTTTACTTTCTATTTGAAATATAGTCATAGTGAACTTACTTAATCGTATCTTTATAAAATATAGTACCGATATTCTACTCTTTATGCACAAAAATTCGTATTGAAAGATCCCCTAAAAAATTTGTACACTAGAACACAATAGAAAACCACAGGTCTTTTATTATGAGGGAGGGTTTAATTTAAAAGGCCTCAGTGTTAAAACTTTATGGTTCGCATTATGAAACGTATTGTAAATCAAAACTTTGTGCTGCTAAACAACGAGAAGCATTTAGAGCTCAAAAATCATATTTGTTAAAAGACAAAACTACCGCATTAACTGTAACATAATTATGTTATACTAGAGTAATCATCATCACCATATCATCATTCGGCTGCGAACAATCGAGGATTGCAGGCAACCACTAAAGTAATAATTAAAAATAAATAATATAATCTCAATTCTTAAAAATTCGAGATTATTGGGCTTCTTTGATCGCAGCCGGAATCCACATATATCATATCATATCGTAGAATAAAAATAGTCTATCTTGAAGTCCGAGTCCACTACTCTACATTCGTTAAAAATCGAAGAAAGGATACCTTTTAAATTAAGGCTATTTTAATTAACTAACTTATGAGAAAAGCAGGAAAATTTCTAGTGTGTCATTTTGCTTTCGTTGAAAAGAAAAAGATCGTCACAATACGGTAAAATAAATTGGAGTACTGTGGGGAAAAAGACACACCTTTTCAATTTTTTGTCGTACTTTTATTAGTTCTCAGTCATTTTTGGTGGGAAAAGTTTGCTGTTGAACATGGTGATGGTGGTAGAGCGAACATTTTTCTACAGGTTGATGTAAAAATCTTCTAGAAATTTCAGGCTGATTTTCAATCAGACCCAAAATGCGAAGAGCCCCATGAACGTGTCTCTTTTTCCCCGTTCGGGATAAAAAGAGATACTCCATTAGTTTGCATGGAGTAACAAGAGACATTCCATTCAAATACATGGAGTTTTAATTAATAATTTACTACTAACGATGTAAGTGAGCTTTAGAGATAATTAGTTGAAAGAAACCATCACTATTCCATTATATTATCCAAGACTTTTCTTCACTTTTAAAAGCCAAAAGTTTACAATCTAATTGTTCTAGCTCCCAGATCTATCGAATGCTGAAGAAACCATTGAGCCTATCAGATTCTTCGAAATTTCTTCTACCAATCAGAAAATTTTGGAGAAAAAAAAAGATGAGATTTCACCAATATATCGATCAAATACATAAAAATGCGTTGGAAGACTACAAGGCTTCTCGAAAAACCACGTCACTTTAAGGCACAAAAATTTCTTTCGAAGGATCCAGTCTTATGAAACAGACTTTCCTCTTCAAGATGAAAGGTCAAACGATCTTAGATTTGCATGTGCCAAGAAGGTACTGGACAATGTCGTCCAATCAGTGCATTTCAAAGACAGAAACGAAGACCGAGAACTGTTTTCGTGATAACTTGCAGAACAACCGCCAGTAGAAGTAGCGTGACCTTTCATAAGACTGTCCATCGAAAGAATTTTTTCTTTTTCCCGCAGGTTTTTGTTTAACTGATATTAAAAAATGAATATTTGTTCTATTTTGTACATGACCTATCAAAAATTAGTCTACGCATAGACGTAGATGTAGAGTGCAGTCTACGCGTAGATATAGATCAATATTATTCCTATTGTTCCATAGTTCAACTTAGGACTTCAAACATGTCGCTTTATTTTTTTCTCTCTCAATTCTATCGATTTTTTTATCTTATATATGGTAGTTGTAAAACATATACGAACGTTTCCGTTTTAATGAACGAAATGAAAAAGAATAAATTTTTTTTTGCTTAAGATTGAATTCATATCAAAATTTGATGATTTTTTTCTAGAGAAGCGGTATTTGAGATTTTTACATATTCGGAATCAGCGCGATGAGTTACGTTGTACGGCGCAAAGATCTCGTCGGGGTACACGCAAAAATGGGG